TAGATTCCTTACGGTTAAGTACTTAACTTACTTACTAACTAGTAGTATAACTCTGGTACTACCAATCCTAGTTGATTAGATGGGATGGTCGGGTACTAACAGTAATAAGTGATTGCGCGTATTCGAGGCAGCGCAACCCAAGTGTGGCGCAGGCTCCATCGGCCGGCCCGCCGAATCACCGGCTCTCTCTCTTCTCTTCTGTGTCTGTCGTTACTCAGAATAGCGAAAGAGGGACCCCGGCCATTCTCTCCTCCTCCTCCACAAGGCACCCTTCCGTCATTCTCCCTCCCTCCCTCCCTCTCTCTCTCTCTCCCCTCGTCCTCTTCGCATTCCTATACCCCTCTTCTATTACCTTACACACACCCTATTCTTTCCTGCGGGCCCCTCTTCATACTATCCACTAGCTTCTTGGAATGAACCATACGCCCGCTGCGTTCATTCCCTATCCGCTGTGAATTTATCCGCCCCGTTCCTGTCCAGATTGATAGGCCAGATATCGTGACGCTTGGGCGCAACTTCCGGGGAGGTCGGTAGCCACAACCATGGTGAGTCGCAGCCCATTTCACTGCCAGTGCGATGACAGAGGTTTATCTATTTGGATCAAATGGTCTTTGGCTGACCCCATGTCTCGTGGTTAGGGTCATTCACGACGTCCGGCTGGCGGGGAGAAGAAGAGTCGCGGCTTCGGTCGCTCCAAGGCCGCCGCCGATGTGGGCGACGGACGACAGGCGGGCAAGCCTCAGGTCAAGAAGGCCGTTTTCGAAAGTACAAAGAAGAAGGAGATTGGTGTCTCAGATCTTACCCTCCTCAGCAAAATCTCCAACGAGGCCATCAATGACAACCTCAAACTCCGCTTTGAACATGACGAGATCTACGTAAGCTGCCGCTGCCACCACTACCACCACCACTACCACACACATTCGGGCCAGGCTGTCTAGGCGAAAACAATCACTAACGGACGACTTCCATAGACATATATTGGACATGTGTTGGTGTCTGTCAACCCGTTCCGCGACTGTAAGTGGCTTCCCCTGAGCGCCATCAGCGCCCGTGGTCGCATGGCTGACCACGCCCCCTATTCTAGTGGGCATCTATACCGATCGTGTCCTCGAGTCCTACCGGGGGAAGAACCGACTCGAAGTCCCGCCCCACGTTTTCGCGGTCGCAGAATCCGCCTACTACAACATGAAGTCATACAAGGATAATCAGTGCGTGATCATTTCAGGAGAGTCGGGTGCGGGTAAGACGGAGGCGGCCAAGCGGATCATGCAGTACATCGCCAGTGTATCCGGGGGCAGCGACTCGTCCATCCAACAGACTAAGGACATGGTTTTGGCCACCAACCCGTTGCTCGAATCGTTCGGTAACGCAAAGACCCTGCGCAACAACAACTCCTCCCGTTTCGGAAAATACCTGGAACTGGAATTCAACACCAATGGCGAGCCGGTGGGTGCCAACATCACAAACTACTTGTTGGAGAAGTCAAGAGTGGTGGGACAGATCACGAATGAGCGAAACTTCCACATTTTCTACCAATTCACCAAGGCTGCACCGCAGAAGTACAGAGGTAGGCGCATTAAAATTATGGTTTACGTGACCGAGCTAACAGCTCGTGACAGATATGTTCGGCATACAACAACCCCAGTCCTATCTCTACACCAGCCGATCAAAGTGCTACGATGTCCCCGGAGTAGATGATGCCGCCGAATTTAGAGACACCATTAATGCAATGGGTGTCATCGGAATGGCCGAAGCCGAACAGGACGAGGTGTTCCGCATGCTGGCCGCGATCCTGTGGATCGGAAACATCCAGTTTGCCGAAGACGACTCCGGAAACGCTGCCATCACCGACCAGTCGGTGGTCGACTTTGTCGCATACTTGCTGGAGGTCGATGCCGCGCAGGTGAACAAGGCGCTCACCATCCGGTTGATGGAGACGGCCCGCGGAGGCCGCAGGGGATCGGTCTATGAGGTTCCCTTGAACACGGTGCAGGCGCTGGCTGTTCGTGATGCGTTGTCCAAGGCGATCTACTTCAATCTCTTTGACTGGATTGTTGGGCGGGTCAACTCTTCGTTGACCGCCAGAGGGTCGGTGGCGAACTCCATCGGTATTTTGGATATCTACGGGTTTGAGATTTTCGAGAAGAACTCGTTTGAGCAACTGTGTATTAACTACGTCAATGAGAAGTTGCAGCAGATCTTCATCCAGTTGACCTTGAAGGCGGAGCAGGATGAGTATGCGCGGGAACAGATCCAGTGGACCCCGATCAAATACTTTGATAACAAGGTGGTCTGCTCGTTGATTGAGGACAAGCGTCCGCCGGGTGTCTTTGCAGCGCTGAACGATGCGTGCGCAACTGCGCATGCCGACTCCGGCGCCGCGGACAACACATTCGTCGGCCGTCTCAACTTCCTGGGCCAGAACCCCAACTTTGAGAGCCGCCAGGGCCAGTTTATCGTCAAGCATTACGCCGGTGACGTCAGCTATGCAGTCGAGGGCATGACCGACAAGAACAAGGACCAGCTGCTGAAGGATCTGTTGAACCTCGCCGGTTCCAGCATCAACCAATTCGTCCACACCCTCTTCCCCAACCAGGTGAACCAGGATGATAAGAGACGTCCGCCCACCGCCAGCGACAAGATCAAGGCGTCTGCCAACGACCTTGTAGCGACCTTGATGAAGGCACAGCCGTCTTACATTCGGACCATCAAGCCCAACGACAACAAAGCGCCCCGGGAGTACAACCAAGGCAACGTGCTGCACCAGATCAAGTATCTGGGTCTGCAGGAGAACGTCCGTATTCGTCGCGCTGGTTTCGCCTACCGTCAAACGTTTGATAAGTTTGTGGAACGCTTCTACCTGCTGTCGCCCAAGACATCCTACGCCGGTGACTACACGTGGACGGGCGATGAGGAGTCTGGTGCCCGCCAAATCCTCAAAGACACTAGTATCCCGGCAGAAGAGTACCAGATGGGTATCACCAAGGTCTTTGTCAAGACCCCGGAGACGCTATTCGCCTTGGAGACGATGCGCGACCGGTACTGGCACAACATGGCCATTCGCATTCAGCGTGCTTGGCGCAACTACCTGCGCTACCGCATTGAATGCGCCATCCGCATCCAGCGGTTCTGGCGTCGCATGACAGGCGGTCTGGAGTTCATCAAACTGCGTGACCAAGGACACCAGGTCCTCCAGGGCAAGAAGGAGCGGCGCAGGATGAGTTTGCTCGGATCGCGGCGCTTCCTCGGAGATTATGTGGGTGTTGGCAATAAGGGTGGACCGGGCGAGATGATCCGGAACGGTGCAGGCATTAACGGTGAGTAGCATGCTTTGTGTGTGTAGGATCTGTCTGACAAGTGCTAGGATCGGAAAATATTCTCTTCTCTTGCCGTGGCGAAGTATTGATTTCTAAGTTTGGCCGGTCCAGCAAGCCGGCACCGCGCATCTTTGTTTTGGTAAGTCGACGCTCCTTGCTGCAACTGGACGCAGCTGACAACGCAGACCAATCGACACGTCTACATCGTGGCACAAACGCTGGTCAACAACCAGCTCCAGATTGCGTCAGAGAGGACGATACCTATCGGAGCGATCAAGTCCGTCAGCACATCGAACCTGAAGGATGACTGGTTCTCGCTCGTGGTGGGCGGACAGGAGCCGGACCCGCTGATGAACTGTGTCTTCAAGACGGAGTTCTTCACCCACCTCACCAACGCACTTCGGGGACAGCTGAACCTGAAGATCGCTGACCAGTAAGTTCGATTCATTCTCATAGAGAGCACCACTAATCTTTTCTAGCATCGAGTATAACAAGAAGCCGGGCAAGCTGGCCACCGTCAAGGTGGTCAAGGACCCCGGGGCCTCGAACGTCGACAGCTACAAGAGCAGCACCATCCATACGAGTGCCGGTGAACCCCCTAGCTCTGTTTCCAAACCCACGCCACGTCCGAAGCAGGTTGCTGCGCGACCCGTGACGAAGGGCAAGTTGCTCCGGCCTGGCGGTCCTGGCGGCGGGCCCTCGAAGTTGGCCTCCAGGCCTGTACCGGCGCGCCAGCCTTTGCCTCAGTCCACGCCGCAGCCCGCTGCCGTGCAACCACCCCCCGCCCCCAGGCCAGCTGTGTCGCCCGCAGCGCAGCCCAGACCGGTCCCTCAACCTGTTGCCGCGGTTGCCGCAGCGCAGCACACACGAAATGCATCCACCAGCTCCGCAAGGGCGCCGCCCCCACCTCCCCCGGCGACGCCGCCAGCCCAGAAGAAGCCAATGGCGAAGGTGTTGTACGACTTTAACAGCGACCAGACCAACGAACTGTCGATCCGGGCGGGCGAACTTGTACAAATTGTGTCCAAGGAAGGAAATGGTGAGTGACACAGCCCATTGTTTACGACGCATGTCAGCTAATGTCTGCAGGATGGTGGTTGTGTATGAACACGGCGACATCGGTTCAGGGCTGGACGCCCGAGGCCTACCTCGAGGAGCAAGTAGCAGCGTCACCCAAGCCTGCACCACCTCCGCCGCCACCGGCCGCACCCCGCGCCAGCCCCGTGCCGGCGACTAATGGTGCCGCCGCCGCTGTGGCCGCCAAAGCCAAGGCCAAGCCGGCACCGCCAGCCCCGCCAGCGAAGCGGCCCAACATGGCTGGGCGGAAGGTGGCGCCCACACCCCCAGCAGCACCGCGCGATAGTGCCGTGAGCATGAACTCGCACGACTCGTCTGGCGGCAGTGGACGGGGGACGCCGAACAGCGCGTCGAACGCGAGTCTGGCGGGAGGATTGGCGGAGGCACTTAAGGCGCGACAGCACGCGATGCAGGGACATCATGACGAAGATGACGAGTGGTAGACTACATACTACACTGTCGAGAATGAGCTAGAAGCATACCCGGTAGATAAAATAGACATGTATAGCATACTGCAGCTGAGCCAGTAGATATACCCTCCCTGTCATCAAATGCAACACTCATAAACTACCAACCCGTCCTCATATACCCAACAACTTAAGATATTTACAAGAACTTACTCGCCAAACTCATCAAAGCCCCAGGACCACCCGTACCACTCGACCCACTACCCTGACTCTTCATATACATCTTAAACGCCATCTCCGCAGCCGAGTTAACAGCCGACTGCTTATCACCAGACTACCCAACACCAGTTAGCCCACATCCCCAAGAGAAGAAACCATGAATATTGAAGACTTACGACATTCCCAGATCCAGCCTTCTCCTCCCAAAGCTTACTCGCCTGCGCCATCGCCATACCAATAAACTCATTCTTGTCCCCACCACTGCTACCCCCACCACCGGAGGTAAACATCTTCAGCGCCTGCATCGCAGCGCCGGCACCCAAGCTGCTGCTATCATGTTGCTGCTCCTCACCACCACCGTTATACAGCCGCTGGTGCGACTGCACGAGATGCTCCTCGTCAATGTCCGGTTGCTCGGAGTACTGGCTCTTGCGATCGGAGAGGAAGCCCAGGGCGGAGGAGAAGAGAGAACTATCCGAGGAGGATTCGTGAGATTGTGCGTGGTGTTGGGCGGAGGAGAATTCGGGGTCGTAGGATCCAGAGTTGCCGTAGCCACCACCTCCAGAGTATCCTCCTCCGGAGGAAGAGTGGGAGCCGGAGGTGGCTTGTTCGAGGGCGGAGGAGATGAGGTTGGAGAAGGACATTTTTCTTCCTTTCTTTCTATTTCACTTAGTAGGGGGTTTTGGGTTGGATGGTTGATGGAGATGGGTAAATGAGATGGATGATGGTAGGAGGGGATGATGATGATGGAGGGGTAAGGGGATAGGAGTATTTATGAGGGGCTGTGGCGGTGTAGACGAGATGTAGAGGGGGGAGAAGGGGTGGAATGGGAATGATCGGCAGTGGGGCAGGGCGCTCAGCCACGATCGGGCGATTTAGTTTACTTCGGAGTTTGTATTATTATAGAGTAAGTGATGGTGTAAATAATGGTTGAATCATGGCTAAAACTGCAATAACGTGGTATCTCTAAATCACGGCTCCGCCCAATTATGCAATATAATGCACTACTCATACACCCATCGCTACAATAGCATCGCTTCATGCTCCTCATCCTCCAAAGTCCACATCCACCGCTGCTGTCGCTCTCGCTCTGTCAACATGCATCGTTCGTCGTCGTCCAGCTCCGTCTCGCGCAGCCACTCGTTCGGCCGATCCCGCAGCCCGTATCGTTGTCCCCACTGCCGTCGCTCATATTCCAGGAACCCGCCAAAGTGCTCGTCCGTGTTGGCCACCCAGATCGTGCTGCCATCTGGCGCGTAGTCGGCACCGCCGATCTCCCCAAAGAAGTCGTGCACTTGTCGACGTTGGTATGTCTGTGCGTTGACCACGGCGATGCGGTCTGCCGGCTCACACAGGAGGAGAGTGCGCGGCCCGCCGCCCACGGGCGACCAGCGCAGTGACCGGTATCCGGCCACATCGGACTCGATCTTTTGCAGCATCCGCCACATGCGTACATCCCAGATGATCGCCGTCTTATCTTGATTGCTCGTGGCGATGTGGTGCATGTCGGGCGCCCAGGCGCACGCAAACCCGAAATCGCGGTGTCCGCGCAAGGGGTGCACCGGGCGCCCGGTATCCGCTTCGACGACCCACGCGTCCGCCGAGTCGCCAATCAGCACGCGCAGGCGCCCGTCCGGCGAGGTCGTCGTGCAATTGATGGCCCGCGAGAGCTCGTGGTCCGCCACGAACGTGTTGGTCTCGCAGTCCAGCACCCGCAGGTGACGGTCATTCGACGCGAAGATCCCCTGTGGAGACCGATTCGTCCGACTCGGAATGATGTCGACATGGTTGGTGATGCCATTCGGGTCCTTGGTCACATAGCCTTGCACGCCTGGGCCTGTTGTGCCCGCCGCTCGCACGGCATATTCGCCCGAAAATCCGCCCGCGATGGTCGTGTCGTGCGCCGACTTCATCGTCGAGATCTTGACGGGGCCCTGCAGCCCCGACTCGACCGTCGGCCGTGACAAGTCAAGGAGGCAGACGAGATCGTCGTACGCGGGCACCCACGAGTAGACCTTTGACTCGTGTGCAAAGTGGACGGTATTGTATGCCGCCACCGACATCAGGTTCCGGAGCTGAAAGTGCTCGATGGTGGCTTTGTGTTCTGTGTACATGGCCTTGCCGCGAAAGTACGACTCTTCCTGCGGCAACCTCGCGCCAGGCCGTTGCCGAGAATACTCCAGGTTGTGGTACGATGTATACGACTGATCCCGCAGCTCGCGCACATAAGCCCGTTTGATCCGCAAGGCATCCCACCAGGGGATCTGTTGCAGATCGTAGAAGTCTCGCGCATACCCCGGCGGTCGATAAATCTTCGGCGGAGGGATCCACCCGATCAGATGCGCAATGGCGCTGCGGGGGAGGTGTGCCGACGACATCGATAGACTGGGAATCGCGGAGGCGGCGGACGACTGGTACAGCCACTGGGCAATAAACTGGTCTACGTTCAGATTCCTCTCGCGAGCTATCACAGGTTAGCATGCCGCAAGAACCGTAGAAACCGATGGGGACTCACTGGTTCCAACCACTGGCGCAGCAAAATGCGTCTCGCCTGTCGGGTCGGCATTGCTTGAGTCGTCCCCCTCGGAAAAAACATTGCTGTAGTCGTCGCGCATGGAACCGGGCCCCAGATCAGATAGTTCAGGAGCAGAGGGTGACGGTGGGTCGTGATAGAAGTCTTCCAGCTCTTCTTCCGACAAATACGCCGTGCCATGGCGGGTCCCCATGTCACTGGCGACATCGTTGTCGTATTCATCGCCATCATCCGAGTAGAACTTCTGCGTGTCATCCGGATCGTCCTCTGCAATGGACTGTGACGTGGACCGGTTCTCCATCACCGACGGCTCATAGTCCATGATCAGATCGGTCGCTTCCCCATCTTCGGTGTCGCTGGAGATAGTGGACGCGACGTGGTGCGCGGACACCGGGGTATCCAGCGACTGGTTGAGGAGGGCTGCCATACCGACGTGTCCACCGATGTAGGGCTCCAGCGGGACGCCACCCATCTCCGACAGCGCGTCTGTCATTTCCGAATCCGAAACGTACCATTCCACCGGGGGCGACGACGGGTTGGGCGCATGATCGGGCACAATCGGACGCACCAGTAAATCGTCGCGCGCCCTCACCGCATTTACCACCTCGGAGGAAGTAGCGTAGGGCCGATCGGGAGACTCGAAGACGTGCGTATACTGGGGGACGGCCATGAAGGCGGAGGCGGCCAATTCGCTCGTGTTCCGATCGTCTGTATCACCGTGGATGCCCGCCGCGGAAGCGTCCGAGCTGACGGCGGGCGCGGGGTCTTCGACGGACGGCATCTGCAACCGGGTGGACGAGGAGGCGTTAGGCGAGGGCAGACTGTCTGGGGTCCAGGGATGTGAGGATCTGGGGACGGTGCATGCTGACGGGCTGCGGGCGCGGGTACTCGGGGGTCCCGGCAGGACCGAGGTGCTGGAGGAGGACTCGGAGGCAGAGGAGGATGAAGACGAAGGGAAATCGGAGGCAGTCGGGCCAGGCATTCCGGTCAGGGCGGCGCGCGCAGAGTTGGCAACGGGGCTGGCCACCGATCGATTGGGGCGAGCGGTGGGGAGGAATAAGCAGGGAGTGGAATTTAAGTAGTAAGGAATTAAGACGGAGGAGGGATCAACCGGTGATTGGCACTGGGGTGGGTTGCACAGGGATGAGGGCCGGTCGGACCACGTTGTTGGCTCTCCGATCGCAATCAATCAATCAATCAATCAATCCCCGTCGGATCTGGACTTCTGCAGCCGATAAGTCAAGTTCACCCCGCAGGGCGTATTGCCCATCTCCCCCACACCGATAGGGATAAGCGTAGGGTTGGACTCCCAGAGTGGGACAGTCACTGCGCTAACTGGAGAGAAATGGGTAGAGAGTCAGTGTGTGTTGTGCGTTGTGTGACCAACCCACCATGAAGAGGTCAGTGGTGGTGGTGGTGGCTTAGCAGTGTGGGAGGAGAAGAAGGAAGGAAGGGAAGAAGGAAGCCAGTGGGAGGCGGACAGAAGGAATGGAAGAATCCCGAGGTGGAGGGGCGGTGTCGCACCAAAGTAACACCACCAATAACCACCACCACTAGATAAGTTTTGGCCGGTGAACAGGTTATAAGATGGAGGTGAAGGCCAAAAGGTAGTGAGCAAGTAGAAGGGAAAAAGCAAATACCCGACAGGACTCAAGTTGGGAGTGGGAGGGCCAAGAGGCCGTCAATCATACCCCAGTTAGGTAGGCTGCAGGAAAGAGGCAGCAGATGCCGCAGAAGAGGAGGGAAAAGAGGCAAAAAAGTAAGAGAGAAATGGGAATGGGAAGAAGAAGGAGAGGGTCGAAGAAGAAGTAGAAGCGAAGACAGAGAGGGAGGAGGAAAAAGCAACTTGGTAACTGTAAGAGAGAGAAGAGAGAGAGAGAGAGAACGTGGATCCCGATCGGGGCTGTCACATGGAGGGGGAGTTGCCGATCACGAGGCAGACAGAAAGACAAGATGATGATGATTGAAAACTAGTAGAACTTTATGTATGGAGATTGCTGCAGTTTGTGAGTTGGGAAGTTAATGTTGCTTCTATTCTAACCCTGTTTAAGTCTAAAGACTACTAGTAGACAGTAGTAGTACTTGTACAAGTGACATGGTCTGATTCCAACGGGATGTAAATGTCCGCAGTCAGGGCTTGCTGCTACCAAGTACTAAGGCAAGTACTAAGTAGTTCAAATCCCGATCTACAATTATCCCGCCGATTGGATTGTTTCTTTTTCTCTGGTGTCTGATCTATTGTTTTAAGGCTTAGTAGTGCTACTCCACGATTCACACAGCCTGATTTTATCTGTCAGATTCCCCATTTTGAGGCTCCCACACCAGCTGTAGAGACTGAACATGTTAGTACACTATTTCTGTATGGGTACCTCTGACTTCCGCTTGATTCAAAAGAACAAGTCCCATTAAATATACGAGGAAAAAGAGCAACTGAAACAATGCGAGCTACTGCGGGAAAGTATAATAACTAGGACTAACGGCCTGAGGCCTCCTAAGAATAGAAGCATAGTGTCGGTCTGACTGTTATTCCGACTCCGCTGACTGGTTACAACAACCTGGAATCTATACTAATAATCCATTTTCTTTTAGCTAACAGTTCAAACATCATATCTTATGTTATAGCCGTTGGTAGCGCTTGGTTCAGTAACACTAATCATCTGACCGCGATCAAGGGGGCTCATATCCCCTATAACATAGAGCTAATGTTACTTCTACTCCGATTAACATTGATCCGGCGATCTACTCTATTCTACTTCGAGTTGATAGATCTTCCATCCCTCAAGCTTGGTGGTTGATCTTCCGCCACGTTACATTTGGGCATAGACAATGTATTAAGGGTCTTCGTTGTCTAATAAAATCAGCTGGCCAGGTTTGTACACGACGAGTACTTCTCAATAGAGTGTCCACTGCATTCCACATACAATAGCGCCACTTTAGTACGACATACCTGAATACGATGTAGTAAGTAGTTGAAGTGTAACTAACTAACTACGCTGCTTTATGATTGGCCCCGCAGGCCGAACGGGGGCGGGGAATGTGCCTGAGACACCAACTGATATGATAATGTAGCACTACTTATCTTTGCGCATTGATAACGCATCAACACCCCCTCACTCCTGTTCAGTACGTAGTAGTAAGTATGTATACCCCAGCAACTCCACAGCCTTCTTTCATGATCACCACACTGGAATTTTCGATTCACTCAAACTCCGAGCTATCCCATCATGGCACCCCAGGAATTCCTACTAATTCTCATGCCCTGTGCTTTCCCAGACAAATGGATCGATAGCCTGAAAAGCGCTGTGCCCCACATGCGCATCGAGAAACGCGAAATTGACCGATTCGCTACGGAGCTGCCCGCTGACATCTCCCCGGAGACTTGGAAAGAGGTTACAGCACTCTTTACCTGGAAGCTTCTTCCGCCCAAAGAACTGGCTCCAAGTCTACAATATGTCCAGCTCTTGAGTGCTGGGTGCAACCATGTTATGGGGACACCGCTGTTCGATGAGACAGATGTTGCATTCTGTACAGCGAATGGGGTTCATCCGTGAGTTTCTGTCAAGCATATTCTGGAAGAAGGAGATAACTGACGGATCAGACCTCAAATCACAGAATGGGTGTTCATGACATTCCTTGCCTTTCAGCACCATCGTACGTCGACCGCACCCATCGATAGGAACATAACACTAACGATGAGATAGTCCCGGCATACCTTGACAACCAAAAAGCCGGTAAATGGATCGACCCGACATCGGATGAGGACACAGAGGATGCAGTTGGCCTCAGAGTGTGAGTGTGACTTTGAGTCTTTCAAGTATTAATCAATTGACACATATTAGTGGAATCATGGGCTATGGAAGTATCGGCCGGCAATGCGCCCGAGTCGCCAAGGCCTTTGGCATGGACGTCCATGCCTTCACACTGCACCCCCGAGCCACGCCTGAATCGCGAAAAGCAGATTCATATAGCGAGCCAGGCCTTGGGGACGAAGACGGTTCATTTCCGTCAAAGTGGTTTTGGGGCAAAGATCAACTCAATGACTTCCTGGGTTCAGATCTCGACTTGCTGGTGATTACTGTCCCGCTGACTGGGGAGACACGAGGCCTGATCGGGCGGGAACAATTCGCCCAGCTGAGCAAGAAGAAGGCTTATGTTAGCAACATTGCCCGGGGAGCAGTGATCAAAACGGATGATCTTATGGAAGCCCTGGATGCGGGTCAGATCCGAGGCGCAGCACTGGATGTTACAGATCCGGAGCCATTGCCAGCTGACCATAAGCTGTGGGGGTATAAGAATGTCATCATTACTCCGCATTGCAGTGGGAATTCAACCCACTATAATGATCGTGCTATTAAGATACTGCAGAGCAATTTGGAGAGACGGGCTCGTGGACAACATCTGATCAACCAAGTTGATAAAGGCTTGGGATACTGATGTAGATGGATAAGAATCTGACGATAACATGACTACTGGCACATAGAATTATAGAGAGCTAGATGCATTAGTATGAGTATGATCAAAGAGCTTATGAAACTCAACAAGTCGCAGCACACCCTTCAGGCTCCCTCTATACCCCGCTTCTGCCTCAGGCATTACTATTTAAGGCGGTGAGGGTCTGCCCGTCATATGGAGAAAGTGGCAGGCGGAAGTCAGCGCGGCGTTGATCGCCGTTCCTTCCAGGCAGCGATCACAACTGACTAATACATACATTTCGAATGGGGGAGTGTCTGTTACATTGGCTATAGCATCTTGTTTATTCTCTTTCCAACTTATATCCTGAAGTCATTCACAATCAAAACCACGCCCAAATATACAGTTCGTCTGCGAACTCAAGCTCCATGCGCCCACAGCCGCCACGTGCTTCAGTAATGCCGGGTCCATACGAGTTCCCCACTGTAATCAATTATTTTCCCTGTCAGTGGAATCAATGCCATTCATCGACCGTCCCACCCTGTCTGCTTAGTGCTCCACCCGCATCTTCACCCGCTTATCCTTCTGCACCCCTCTAATCCCGGCCGAAGAACCTGGCATCGGGGAGGAACAGAACAGATGGAAGCCCATATTGGTTCGGACAACGGCACTGGGCCTTCCGCTCCAACGTACGGACTCCCACACCTGATCGACGAGAAGCAGGAGGACAAATATCCATTGCTGCTTGTCTACCTGGACAAGCAAACTCCAGCCGAACAAGCTTATCTTGCTCTTCGCCTACAAGAGTTCTTCAGAAAGGAAAATATAACACTGACAAGATGGCAACCATCCTCGGGGCTGCTACGTCGGGTCGCCCTCCATGGCTCTTGCCCAGACAGCCAGGCGAACATTCACGCAATGGCCGTCTTAGCATATCGAGCTGGATGGACAAGATTCCTCGTAGCAGATAGCCTCACTCAGCGTCAAGTGCATGGGACTCTTCGCATGTGGGAGGATCCACTTTTGTCACTGGTCATGGTCGTTGTCAAGCCAGAGCCAGTTGTCTTAGCCCCAACGGGCGATTTTTGCGTCTTCGCTAAGCGGACCACTGTAGACGGGTTCAGCAAAGATTTTCTTGAAAAGCTTTCCAACTTGCAACCACCGAAGAGGTCGCTCATGCATAACATTGAACGCGATCGATATGATGATCCTGGCCTCACTCTCTATGACCCTGACCGGCCCCCATTTTCCGCCGACAGAGCGACCTCTCTCAGTCACGAAGAACGGTTCATTATTACCGCGGCCTTCTTGACAAAACACACACCATTGCCACCGGAGCTGGCGGAGCAAGTCCTGGACTGGCTTTCTATAGCCAACGAAACTCCTATGTGGTTGCCGCCGTGGATATACCACAAGGAAAAGCACCTGAACATCTTTCTCCTGTTCCCAGCCACGCAACCCGAGCTTCATCATATCCAAACCCTCTTCCAGAACGTCATTGAGGACTACCGGAAAATCGAGCGCGCCGGTGTTCGGTCATATACCATCACTTTTATCCCTTGGGAATATCACAGAACCAGGTCTCGCCGTGACCTTGCAAACCTATGGGAGGCGTATCGGCTTAGAGCGGGAGACAACTCAGCCCCATTCAATATTTACTTTCTTCAACAGATGCCCGTCGCTCAGAATGTTAATGACCTTGAACTAGGGATTGTCAAATACGAACGAGGTGATTTGCCCAATGTGGCACGAATAACGTTGAAAAATATAATCCTTGACAGAGGACCCTGGATTGAAATGATGAGAAGACGAGGACAGTCCGCAGAACAGTACATGTACAGTCACAAGGTCGACCCGGAGCTACTGCGTCCATTTGACCAACCTTTCTACCCCAATCCACCGCGATGGCTCCCAGCAAAGAAAGGGCAATACACCATACCAGTGTTTTATCTCACGAACGAGCTTTCCAGATCCGAAAAATACGATATAGAAAAAGAAATCCGCACGTTAGGCCAAGTGGAAGAGAGTCACTGGGGATCTAAAGTCGCATGTTACGTTCCCTGGGACGGTGAAGCGGATGGCACGCTCGACGACGTCTGGAAGATCTTCTGGGAAGTCTTCACCTATCACGGAGAACGCGACAGCCATTTCCCTATCTTCTTCATCGATGCCCAATCGGCGATGGACGATACCGTCCTTGTTGTGCATCCGGACCATTTGTGGTTCGACCAGTCCAACCATAGAGCGCTGGCAATGCTGCAGAATGTGATGTATCCTAGTGTGCGTGGGCTTCAGTACGGTCGGGTGAGAGGTCGCGAGGCGCATACTATGCATTCTAATGTCAGCGTCGGCAACATGTTCTTCGAGGAGTATACGCGACCCCAGCGCTTTCCGAGACCGGATTGGCCTTGTCATGGGTTTACGGCAGCGCAGGTGTGATGATTACTGTTTTGACCTTTTATTTGTTGTGCGGTGATATCTTGGATGTTCTCTGGAATTGCTGCGCCGTAGCCCCGTTTTTTTGTTTTGGAAATAGTGCTGATAGACTCGTTGTTGGCAATTCCGTTCGCACGTTACTGCAATCTGTAATACATCTTTGTCCATCCGTAGCACGGCCGTCCGAACTAGTATTAACTCCAACACGAGCCGTCTACCAGCGCCAAGTTTTCATTATCTGACAAGTCCATGAAGAGAAATATCAGGGTAGAACAAAACCATTATTATTTATACTTGATGTTTCAGGTCCAAATCTCGACCGTCTCAAACTAGCTGGATGGGTCTCGTACCAGGAACCTAAAAAGCGTGCAATAGCCAACGTTCAGTCTCAGGGTCCTATGTATATAACCAGACTTCTACCCTACCTGCCTACTCTCCACTCTTCATAGTACATTTTCAGATATCACACCCTTTTATTTTACAAGAACCACAGGCCGTAATAGAACCGAGGCTCCCATCCTCCCAGCCATATCATACAGGTATAATGGGGGATGGTTTTAATTGTAAACGACACCCGAAACCCGGACAGAATCCCCAGTGGCGAGCGATCATCGGGCGTCGGAACTCGAGTGGACCGACCCACTTTACATGCTCGGGACTCGATCGAGTTCCGACATTCTGCCACTATGATCTGCCGCGTGAACTCGCAACATTTTCTCAAAAGGGGATAGAATGTCATTATCCTTATTGGTTGTTCGATGATATTTAAGATGGTTGTACTGTCGTACAGGGGGCCGGGCCTCGGAGACATATGATTTATCGATTGGGTTCTAGAAAGGAACGGAAGGTATTATTGATCAAGGGGGCATTCTTATGTGATTATTTCAGGTCCAAGCTCAGGGACAGATAGACAGGTGTTTTATCTCTATAAATTTATTGTCGACGGACGAGAGACTTTTCTCGATATTCAGATCACAGTTCAGTCTATCATCTACCTGAGTACCGACCATGGAATCCGCAATTTCAGAAAAGCTGACACTCAAATGTGGGCTGCAAATGAAGAATCGTTTGGTGAAGGCTGCAATGGCAGAACATATGTCTGATGGTGACAACTTGCCCACAGAACTCCATAATCGCGCTTATGCCGAGTGGGGTCGTGGTGGATGGGGTATGCTTCTGACAGGTGAGTGCCATACAATGTCTCCGTTGGCAGTGAATAATGCGCTGAGTTTGCGACAGGAAACGTCCAAGTGGATAGGATGTACCTTGGAGATGCGCGTGACGTTGCACCAAATCCAGCTATCGAACCAGAGTTGATCCGCAGATGGAGCGAGTGGTCCGCTGCTTGTACGAAACATGGCACGCCAACAGTCATGCAAATCAGTCACCCCGGAAGGCAATCGCCCATGGGTGCGGGGTCGCGATGTCTCACTGCGAAGAATGTTGCGCCCAGTCCCATACCGCTGAACATTGGTTCAAGAATCGTGGATAGGGTCGCGAGCTCGGTGATTTTCGGTACACCGAGGGAGATGACCCAAAAGGATATCGATCATGTGGTTGAGCAGTTCGTTTATACTAGTCGGTTGGCATCACAGACGGGGTTCCAGGGGGTGGAGTTGCATGCAGCACATGGATATCTTTTATCGCAGTTCTTATCGCCCACGGCGAATCTAAGGTCGGATAGCTATGGCGGTTCGCCGGCTGGCCGTGTGAAGATTATTGTCGATATCATCCGTGCGATTCGCAAAACGGTTCCTGCGGATTTCTGCGTTGGGATAAAGCTGAATTCGGTCGACCATCAGTCCGAAAGTGCGTTGAAGGCCTGTGTTGAGCAGCTCAAGCTCATCGTTGAGGCGGGTGTGGACTTTGTTGAGATCAGTGGAGGGTCGTATGAGGATCCCTCGGTAGGATGAACTGTCCCCTTGGCATGTGGTTGGTTGCACAGCTGATAATTGACCAGATGATGAGTTCCTCCACGTCATCTCAACAGCCTGAGAAGTCCGCTCGGACGGTGGCTCGGGAGGCATTCTTTCTGGAGTTCGCCAGTGCTATCCGAGCGCAATTCCCAGGGACTCCATTGATGGTGACGGGCGGTTTCCGTACCCGAGCTGGTATGGAGAAGGCACTGACAGATGGGGACTGCGACATGATTGGGATTGGGCGTCCAGCAGTCCTCAAACCGACTTTACCGAATGACATTCTATTGAACCCAGATGTCCCGAAAGAGAGCGCACGGCTTGTCACGCAACAGATAAGACAGCCTTGGATCCTCAAAATGTTGAGCAACAAATCGGTTGGGGCTGGCCTCGAAAGTGTAAGTGAGATGTATCTGATTGGGGTGCCACTCGCTGACATTACTTCCTTTCTCAGAGTTGGTATAGTAGCCAGATAGAGAAACTCGGTCGTGGTATTGTCCACACGTTTGCGTGAGAATATTGCGGCCTTTATGCCAGGAGGGCCGAATTGTCTAATGCTATATATTGCCGTATTTCTTTTGTGTATCTCTACATGGTCATGAGTTCCGAGTTCAGCGAGAGATGCCACTTTATATAAATCTGCCTCGTTGCGTAACCATGCCAGAGCGAGGAACGGAAAGTCATTTCAGTCCAATCAGGCATGGTATGTTAGGTTAAAGATACTCATCGACAAGAAAACGACTAAAGAAAACGACCATCGTAGTAGAGGTAATAACTTCGGTTAAAGCTCATAACCCTGGATTGAGCCAGCAGGCATGATATCCCACTCGGGATTCCACGAGAAGAGTTCGAGACTGTCATCCGCCATGCTATTTAGCAATGGATCGCTGTCGCTCAGACCCGACAGGATGTCTCCGCAGTTGGCTCGGGTCCATGACAATGGCCCGTCCGTGAACAGTAAATCAAGTATCTCTGCCGTGATAATACTCTCATCAACCATGGCCAACAACAGTGTGTCAGGATTTGTGAGAGCGGTTCTAACATTATCAGCGAGCGGCCTTAACCGATCAGCACATACGGCTGCCTCGCCCCAGCGCTCACCGATATTGGTGAGAAGCTGAAGACATTGAGGGATCGAGGTATGTAACATCGTATGAGCTCTACCTTGTAGCGGCTCATAATTTCGTGCTGACCAGCACGCCTCGAGCGAGATGACTGCAGTTTCGAAGAGAATGTGCACCCCATGCCAAGGATAGAATAGCCTCCGACGCCGCTCCTGAGCGAGGTAATCTTGAATCAAAACTGATGATGCATCTAGCACAGCCTTCCAGTTGTCTGGACCCCTCAATCTTAGACGGGGCGTAGGCCGGTGGATGCGCGCCATGAGATGGTGAAATTGCACATGTTTGAATTCAAGCATATCATATTGTGTGTATGACTGTGCCTTCTCGTACCACCTTTTCAGTCTTTGGGTGATGCTCTCAATCCAGTCTTCTATCGTGCTAGTGCCGAACTTGGCTAAGTCTTCTTCCAGGTGAAGCACTCTATGAACCTCTGTTTCTAATGCACGATACCGACATATATGGTAAGCCACAGACATCTTGCTCGGCTTACTGGTGGAGTGACCCGGATTGGGGTTTGCCTTTTCTGTTGTGGGGAGCTGGCCTTTATGAGTTTCCCAAAGAATCTCAGGGTTTGAGAGACCTACCTTTACCGTGATTGCCTCCTCCGGAAATGACAGTGGAAGGCGGAGATTCGTACATAATGACCTCTCCATACCGTACGCTACCCAAAATAGTACGCTTCGCTGACAAGGCTCTCCTTGAATCAGTTGATTGCACTCCATATAGAGCCCCAGATTGAGGACAATACGAACAGCGTTAGAAATGCATGTCCAATTGTCTACTCTCTCCGGGCACATATGTGCATAGTGAGCTAAGAGTAAAGAAACCTGTAGTGCCTGTATTTCGCTATGATCTGTTATGGCCTGTAGGTGCTTCAAAGCCGCGTTATAGAAAGACTCTGAAGCCGCTCGAGCTTGATAATCGGCCTTCCATGTCAATGTCATGGCAGAAATTGCCAGTGCGATAAGCAATACAAAATACTCGAAATGCCCCAAACCAGCATCAGTGGGCACGTGGTGGATTGGTAGTGCCTTTGGGTCCTTCAAATCCTGACGCTGGATCCTGTCGAGTATTTCATTTACCATAGTTTCTGACACGCAAGGGTACTGGGGCAGGTGGATGTCAACATAGTTTCGAATCATGCGGTTGATCGCCGAAAATGGAACACTACGTAAGTTAATCGGCGCCCCATGATTGTAATTGTTATGTTGTAGGCTCAAGTTCTTATCAGGATTATATTGTACCCGTTCCCGGGCTATTGCCAAAGGGGGACAGGAAGGTCGAAAGAACAATGAAGATGAGGCTTTAGAGCCGAGAAACGAGTTTTGAAAGGGGAGGCCAATGGATATGGTAGCCTGCGCGACGGCCGTCGTGATGAGATACGGAACATCATTGGAGGCGGCGTTGAATGAGCGCAGCTGTGATTCGAGCTCTTCAACCTGAGCCTCGAGTGACTTGACAAAGCTTGAGACACATAATCAGTCCCAGATGATCCCCAGACAAGGTGTAGATACATACCTCCTTGGGACTGCCTCCTTAGAACTGGGATCAAAGCCCAAGCAAGGTACGCTTGCGAGTTTGCACGGAGTACATGCTGGAAAGATGAAGTCACACTATGGTGCATCGCCGTGTTAGAGACGGAGTATGAATGTCACATGCATAATACAGCAACAAAAAGAATGACTGGAACAAAGTATTAGGGTATCAAACCTTCGTCTTGCGTTTCCGACAGCGTGAACATACTTTAGTCGAGCGCCTAGATCGTGGCATTGTGGGCGGTCAACGTGCAAGAGTGATGCAAGATAAACAGAACAACTACTATATCTAGTAATAGTCACATATTTCCCCGCATCACCTGATAAGGAACAAGGTCAACCAATTGTCCCAAAGCAAGCTACGTCTATCTAACCCATCCAGGCTTAGCGTAATATGACAACACCCCGTGATGATGCTAGATTGAAATTAGATGGGTTGCCTCGAGTCCACTCAATTCGACTCTCTCAAACAACATTGGGATCAATCGGAGTGGTCTGTGCTTAAAGACGCCCTAGACGTGTCTTAAAGCGAAAAGGTCGCTGATAACGAGGGCACAACATTTGAAAAGATGCTGCCGACTTGTACCCGTTGCAGAAGCCGGAGGATTAAGGTACCTATTACCCTTCCCTTATCGCAATCGTCACCTAACAGTAGACTAACGCACATCTTCCAGTGCGACTCCTTGCTTCCAGCATGCGCAAACTGCTCCAAGCACGATGTGGAATGTACCTTTCGAGATGAAGCTTTACAAGTAGATGTCACCCGATGGTCTGCATGACAAAACCCAACAATAAATCAGCCGAAAGCTCATAAAAGATAGCTATCTCAAGACATTACAGGATAAAATTGAGAAGCTGAACTCTGAATTGGCGATAAAATCTCAGATCTCATCTAGGTGAAAGCACACTATTGTTACTTCACTCTGCATGAAGCTAATTCGGACCTGGAGAGTGAAAGTGGCCTAATAGAGACTACTCCTGATGGCATCCCAACAAAACCTTCCTCAATCTCCTCCTTCGTTCTTATGCCCGGCTCTGGTAAAGATCTATACATTGACCTCTCACTTCCATCACGCATTGTCGAGGTCACACTCGAGGTACTTTCACAACGCCAGGAAACGGATGACAAGATGACTGTTGATGAGCAAAGCTTCTCATTTCCAGACATTCCACGTCTTGACAGGTCCACACTTACCCCCGGTGCAGTGCGTGGCCTTCTAAAAGATTATTGTCGCCTTGTTCACCCGAAATATGACATTTTGGACGTCGGAATTTTGAGCTATGATGGCATGCACCTACGGAAGCTGCCTGAAACGCGAAGATTTCAGATACTTATGGCCTGCGCTATTTCCGCCACCCAAAAGTCGTACAGAGAGCCAATTTGGAGACCGTTCGCCAATACATGCCGTGAGTGGGCAAATGACTTCATTGCCCCAATTATATCTTCTGCCGACGCAGACTCTATGAAAGCTATTCTGCTCCTTCTTGTATACGAAATGGCCGATCCGACTCGAGGCATTATCTGGGAACTCCTTGATGTAGCGCGAAGGACGTGCTTGCAGCTAGGCTGGAACCGAACCGCCTCGTCTTCCAACGAGACCTCAATTAATGGGGAAGCAGTATCGCATGATCCCATGAGAACCCGCCTAATGCGTGTACTTAGGGACATTGAAGGGTTGGTACAACAGCCATCGTCATTGCTACCTTAGCTCATACATAGTAGGTCACTACGGACGATATCAAATCGGCCAACCTTGTCAATTGAGGACACAATATATAATGCAACAGAAGAGGATATACCATCTTCTACCTACAGAAAATTATTTCGAGCAACATACGGCACTGGTCGGACTAACGACACCGGAAGCTGCCCCTTTGTTGGCCCAATGTCAGTACTGATCGATGGAGCCGATCGTATTGCAGATACCGCCCCGGCGTCACAGGAAATCTGGCTTGTCCTCCTAGTCACTTGCGTTAGGCACAAACAATGTGTGACTTGCTATCAGGAACCAGACGACCAGCAAGGGAAAGGAATGAGAACGTTAAGACTTAAAATTGTCAAGGCAGCCGCAGAGCTCTTATCGAGCACACACAGAGTAGCCTTCAATGATGAAGGCTTTGTATCACCAATTACAGCATGCTCAAGGGCCCTTATATCTGGATGCTCCATAGCGACAGCTATAGTGAAGAGATGGAAAACCTTTCAATCGCACTTCAGAGACTTGATCTTATGCAGTGAAATCCTAACCTTGTTCTGCTCTCATTGGAAGGGTGGTCATTCGTACCTTCATGCTTGGCAGATTATTACGGACCTTTTGCATACCAATATGAAACAAAGAAATTGAATCACATATGTCAACCTGACAAGCCCGGTGGCAGGCAAGCATTGAGTCTTGGATTTCGGGAGAACGAAAAATCAGCTATGTCGAAACTTGCTACAGAGATGAATTGAAATACAGCTATTGGAAATTACTCTGATCAACCTGAATGACATGTTGCTCCTCGAAGAATAAGAAGCCTGCCACCTTCAACTCTGACAACCTTGCCGTCCATAAAAGCGCCCGCTTTGCTGATTAACCACAGCATAGTCCCTACCATGTCTTCTTCGTTCCCAGCTCGGCCAGCTGGAGCTTCCGCCGCTAGATGGAGGTTTGAACTGGCATCTGTTGTTGTCATTCCGGAAGGCACAATGCCTGGTGATATCCCGTTGACGCGGACTGCAGATAAGATCAGATAAGATTGTAGAAAATAAGCAATGAACGGTGCCACGAGCTACAACATACTGTAGTAGTCTCTGAACTCCGCAGCCATGATCCGTACAAGATGGTCAACTGCTGCTTTAGACGTCTGATAGCAGGGCACAAATTGATGGTTATGCACACTTGCTGGGCTGCTTAGCATAACCACGCAACCTCGCCCGTCGCCTCTCGCGGCTGCTGTGCCT